CAGTGGAGCTCCCGTCCACATACACTTTCCAAACCTGACTAGTATCATCCAGAGCAACCGGCCTTGTCATTTCCACAATAAAGTCGGCGAATGCTTGCCCCTTTATTTCTTTCCTTGGTTCGTAAGTGATTTCCAATCCTTGCATTTCAATCGCCCATTTGAGCATTCGTCCAAAAGACTCCAAGGTTGTGAGTGGCCGTTTGATCGTTTGGTCAGTATAGACTTCTACCGCATGGGCCAAGAAGTAGGGTTTAAGCTTCTTGATGGCCATGTAAAGGGCAAGGCCGAATTTCTCAACCATGAGGTACCGAAGCTCCGCGTTTCTCAGAACATGGCTAATGAAATACACCGGGAGCTGGATGCCGTCTCTTTTAGCTAAGAGAATGGCACTGAGGGCATGATCAGAGACGGCTAAGTACATGAAGAGCTTCTCTTTGGGCAAAGGGCTGACAAGCCTTGGCAAAGAGTGCAAATGAGTTTTCAGCTTTTGAAAGGCCGCCTCCGCATCATCCCCCCATTCAAAGTTGGTCTTCTTTTTATTTGCCTGGAAAAAGTAGAGGCACTTGTCGCCTGACCGACTGAGGAATCTCCCCAAGGCCACCAGACAACCTGTTAGTTTTTGCACTTCCTTCATAGTACGGGACGACTGCATGTCGATTACCGCCTGTATTTTCTCAGGGTTGGCCTCTGTTCCCCTTTGGTCAATCAAAAATCCGAGAAACTTCCCAGACTCAACACCAAAAACACACTTTTTTGGGTTTAGCATGACCTTGTGCCGCCTGAGTGTGGCGAATATTTCTCGGAGATCAGCAAGATGATCCGCCTGTTGTTTGGATTTGACTATCATGTCATCAATGTGCGCCTCTACATTCCTTCCGATTTGATTAATGAAGACCGTGTTAATCATTCGTTGGAAAGTCGCAGGCGCACTCTTCAAACCAAACGGCATCACCGTATAACAGAACAACCCCTGATCAGTGACAAATGTCGTCTTTTCTTGATCTTTTTTCCACAGAGGGATATGATGGAAACCTGAATAGGCGTCCATAAAACTCATCAAGGCATGTCCGGCTTTTGAGTCGACCAAACTGTCGATCTTAGGCAATGGATAACTATCCTTCGGACATGCCTTGTTGAGGTCTGTGTAGTCAACACACATCTGCCAAGTTCCATTCGGCTTTTTTACTAACACAACGTTAGCTACCCACTCAGGGAAATTGCACGGCCGAATGAACTTGGCATCTAACAGCTTTTTTACTTCGGCAGTTGCCGCCTAACTTCTTTCTTCGCCGTGGTTTCTTTCTTTTACCGGATGGGCTTCTTTTCAGGATCCACGGCGAGTTTGTGGACGGCAAGATCCGGGCTGATGCCTGGCATCTCCTCCACTTCAAAGGCAAAGATGCCTTTGAATTCTCTGAGTAGCTGGTGAAGTCTTTCACCCAGCTTTGCAAATGCAACCGTCCCCACCTTAACCGTCCGTTCTGGACGACTGTCGTCCAGAGGGATGTCGATGTGTTCACCTGCAGGCTGGGGACGGAGATCATCTGACCGTTCCCCGGTCAGTGATTGCTATTGTTTGTCTTTTTTGACCACCACCGGCTGATCAGTTTTTCTTTTCTTTCCGGCTGGTGGGGCCGAGTGTTCTTCCTCGACATCGCCGAGGTCGATTATTTGCTTGCCCCGACCGGATGCTACGGCCGCGGGCTTGACGTCCGAGAGGTAACACTCTCGAGCCATCTTTTGGTCCCCATTAAGGGAGCCGACTGTTCCACCATCCATCTCATACTTGAGTAGCATGAGAGCAGGGATGATGACGGCCTTACACTCGTTAAGAGTGGGTTGGACAAAGATGAGGTTGTAAGCTGTGAGCTCTTCAACCACTAGGAAACGGATGGTCATGTGCCGACCGTCTCCTTTGCTTCCCAGGCGGACAGGTAAGTCAATTCGTTCGACTGGGTGCACAAGTCCTCCCCCAAACCCAACAAGGGTGTGGGAGACCTCCATCATGGTATCCGGTTTGTACTTGAGATTGGATAAGCATTTGAGGCTGATGAGGTCAGAGGAGCTTCCTGTGTCAATCAGAATTCAGCCAACCAACTGGTTGGCGACCTTGCACTCAATGACAACAGGGTCATCATGCGGCTGGCGGACTTTGCCTCTGTCCTGCTCGGTAATGACAGCTTTAAGGAAGGTGGATGTGCCTGCCGCATCCCCTTCCTCAACAGAGTTGACCATCTTTCTCAGATGGTCCTTGGTGCCCCGAATGGTTGGGCCACCACCGGTAAATCCGCCTGCTATTGTGTATACCGGATCTTCATTAGTTTCGGCACTCACAGCAGGCTGGGGAGTCTTTTTCTTGGACTGCCCCGAATTTGCCTTTGAAGTCACTTTGGACTTCACATAGGACTTCAGCTGTCCTTTGTCGGCCAGACAGTCGAGCTCCCGCTTGAGACTAAAGCAGTCATTCGTGTCATGGCCAACATCCTCATGGAAATGGCAATGCTTGTTTTTGTTCCGATTTTCAGCGGAACCTTTCATAGGAGTCGGCTTTTCAAGAGTCAGCCGATCCTTAATTTCCAAGAGGATGGAGCAGCAGTCCTTGTGGAATTCGTACCTTCGGACGTACGGTTTCCACTCCTTTTTCTTCTTCTGGGCCGGTTGATCAGAGTTATCAAAGGCCCAGACTTGCTTTTTCTTTTTGCTCTCTTTTGGCTTAGGAGCCGGCTGAGCAAGCCGACTCTCTTTCTGTCGGTCGGACTTCTTATGGTCCGACTGCTTATTGGAGGAGCAGAGTTTGGTCGCCAGTATATAGGCTTCTGCTTCTCGCAAGGCTCCTTGCAGAGTAAAGATTTGTTTGCGGACGAGTTCATACTTAAAAGTAGACCCGTCCTTCAGACCCTTAAAGAAGTCTGTGAAAGCGACCTCATCAGACAGCCCATGAATCTGGATTCGGACCAGATTGAACCGCCTAATGTAGGAACGCAAGCCTTCTCTATCTCCCTGCTGTACATTGCCCAAGTCAAGACTTGTCTTTTTGGCAGGGATGTTCATAGAGAAGTTTGAAGCAAACAAGAACGCAAGCGTCTTGAAGCTATTTATGCAACCAGCCGGCAGATTGCCAAACCATTGCTGGGCTATGCCCTTCAGGGTGGCTGGAAAGCAACGACACCATGCGGCATCATCCAACCCCTGTAAATACATGAGGTGGGTGTATGCTAACAGGTGGTATTCTGGGTTGGAGGTCCCGTCATAGGCTCCAACCAGAACGTTTTTAACTTTAGCCGGCTGTACGGCTTCAGTAATTTCCCTGGAGAAAGCAGAGGGTTGATCTCCAAGGTGTTGCAGCCTAAGCTGCCAGTCCATCGGCTGATAGCCGTATGCCGCCTGTCCTCCAAAGAGGGCAGGTTGCATGTAAGGTAAAACTGGCGCCTGGTACAATGGTTGTGCCATGTACTGGGCCGACTGAATCATATGAGGACCAGACTGAACCCGTTGGCTGCTTGCTGGAGTCTCATGTTCAGACTGGGAACACCTCACAGAGGTATTCCGAAAGCTATCATGATAAGTCGACGTTGAAGGCGACTCTGATAGATGGGTTCTCTTCTCCTCAATGTATTGCCAAGCGTTAGAGAACATTTTCTTGCTACCATCCGGCTGTATGTGCCGGATGGGTTTTCTTGTGTTCATTTCTGGGAAACGGAGCCGAGTAAGGTCAAATTGGGGCCGAGCCTTCTCCTTGGGGGCAAGATGAGGAGTTGGCTCACGGTCCCTGACTGACTTCTGTTTGCCAACTTGGGCTGGCTTCTTGGCCGACTGCTCCTTTCTAGGAGCAGGCGACTTCTTTGAGGCGAGCTGTTTGATTTCACCCCTGAGGCTGCTCAAGAGTGTCATTAGTTCATCTCGAGTGACGGGAGTTGATCCTGCCGCCTAGGAAGGATCAACCGGCCGCCCCGAGGGCTTCTTTGGCAGTCCAGCAGTTTTGCTTGGTCCTGCCTGGTCATGGTGACGCTCCCGCCTCTCCTTACTGCGGATGCGTTTAGAGATGAGGAATCCATTTGGATCCACATAGGTTTCGACGTCAGCGTCGTCTCCTGAGTCGTGGTCCGTTTGGACCATTATGTTTCGGGGGTTTTTGTCCCTTGGGAGAGTTACAACACTGAAACTGGGTTCAACAACGGGCGTCTGTACCTGCAAAGCAAACGGACCGCTGAATGGTCGGTGGTCCGTCTCCGAAGATTAAGTTAGTAAACGTTCGGTAATAAAATGTGCGGAAGTACAGTTATCTGCTTGGATTCCAAGCTCAGGAAAAGTGTTGTGTGTTCGACAACTCTGTGATAAGTGACATGTTGTCTCGTATTGCGTGTATATTTTCTGTCTTGTCATAAATGTAAGAATGTCCCTATTTATAGGGTCCTTTTTGAAAGTGTGCCCCTCCTAGGATCTGGTGACCTAGGAATTAGGTCACGCCGTTTTGCGGCGCCTCGAGATTTGGGCCTTTGAAGGCCGCCATCCCAGCGGCAATGCCTGAGCGACACGTGTCACTGAGCCCAAAAGGCCTTTGGGCATATTTTGGGTGACACGTGTCACCATCTAAATAGTCCATGCTGGATCATCAGTCTGCGTAGGACAGAAGAGTGTCCGCCTTCCACGTGTCATCATTCCATAGGTCCAAATGGCACCTCTTTGGAGGACACGTGGCGCTTAATGATTGGGCCACCTGGCCGGGTATAAAATACCCAAATCAATATTGGTATAAACTAAAATTCAAGTTATTTTGTTGCAAATAATTTTTTTAGATAAATTAATGTTGAATTTGTACCATTATTTGTAATTTATTTGTCGTAGAATTTAATTATGATCGTGCATGGCACGGAACTTAACCAAGTTATTGCTAAATATTAATTATTATTTAAAAGCAGAGCAGAATAAATTTATTTTAAGATAATCAGAGCAAATTTGATTAGAGCAGTGCAGAAAAGCTCTAAAAAAACGAGGTCCAAATGTTCATTTTGAAATGAGGGATCATACATATGTACCTTAGTCTCAAAACTAGCCTTCAAACAACTGCACCATAGTCCATATCTGAATTTTTATCAAATTTGAAAATAGATTATCCACAAAAACTTAACAATGAAAACAGAAGATGCTACTATGTATTGTCCTGAATCCAACCAAAAGGAACGAATTAAGCTCAACATCGGTGGCAAACTCTTCGAAACCACCGTCTCAACCGCCGCCCCTTCCTCCTTCCTCGACTCTCTCTCCTCCTCCACTCACCCACCACCCTTCATCGACCGCGACCCCGAAATCTTCTCATCCCTTCTCTCTCTCCTGCGCACTCACCGCCTTCCCTCCAGCACACTCCGTCACTTCTCCCTCCACCAACTCCTCAACGAGTCCCACTTCTACGGCCTCAACTCTTCCTTACTCTCTTCTCTCTCTCCTCCCTCTCTCTCCCCCTTCGACGCATCCTTTGTATCCTCTCTCTCTCCTCCTTCTTCCCCTATCGTCTCTGCCTTCTCCGCCTCTGCCCATTCTTTTCTTCTTTTAGCTCATTCTGGGCAGATCTCTTACTACGATGGTCCAACTCTTTCTCTCTCATCCACGCTTCGTACCCATCTCCATGATATATCTTCCATCGTTTCTATCTCTCCTGAGATATCGGTTGTTGGATCAAATTCTTTTTCTGGTCTACATTTGTATACTAGAGAAAATCATGCCGGGTCGCTGTATTGGATGGATGATTCAGATACAAGGGTTCATAAATCCCGAGTCACTTCCATCGCTGACTTGGGGATGGCGGTGTTTGCTGCTGCGTTTGAGTGTAGACATGGGGAGAATGCGGTACAAATTGTCGATAAATCGACTCTAAAAGTTGTGGCGGAAATTGGGAGGCAGTCCGGTAACTCTGCCAAATCCACCGCTATTAAAAGGTTAAGGTGGGTTCCAGAAGTGGGGTTGCTGGTGGGAAGTGCGGTTAATTGGGGGGCGTTCGGGTATTCCGGTTATGTGCGGGTATGGGATCCTAGGTCTGGAGAGATGGTATGGGAGACGAATGAGCCAGGTGGGGTGGTTAGGAGTAGTAGGTTGGATGATACGATGGCGGATATTGATGTTGATCCAGAAGAGCTATTTTTGGCTAAGGTGGGTTCGAAGACGGGGGACTTGGGTGTGGCTGATTTGAGGAAATTAGGTTCTGACCCATGGGTGTATTTGGAGGATCGGTACCCAGGATTGAGTAGAGATTGGAATGCCGGGGGAAGTGTGGTGGTGCATTGTTACAAGGGAAATGTGTTTGTTGGGAGAGGCGGGGGATTGGAAGCTTGGTCGAGGGTGGCAGACCGAGCAGTTGTAGGTGACGGAGGAAGAGGCGAGAGAGAATGGGGTGTGTATAGGAGGAATTATGTAGATAAGGTGGAGGACTTAAAGCGGGGAATAATAAGTAAGATTGAAGGAGGTGGGAATAGGCTCTTTGTTAGAAGGGAAAATGTAGGAGGTATTGAAGTTTGGGAGACTTCTTGTTCATCTGGGGTTAAGACGGCTGTATGATCTTGAAATTGGAAAGGCATTGTGGCTTTGTGCTGATGGATGACTCTGGCTGCCACACCCAATGACGTATGGATTGTTGATTTTGAACATTATACTTTGAGGTTTACAACATTTTCCTCAACTCAAAGGTTATTAATTACTGAGTATTGTTGATCTGTTCTGGTTGCGTTTCCTTTGGTTTGATTTGTTGTTTTAGCCTTGTCAGTAATTAAGGAAGAAACAGTTCTGTATGGGTTGGTGAAAAAATAAAAATAAAAATTGGACTGTTAACAATATTGAGAATGTTACAATTAGGGAAAAAAATTGTGCTTTATTATTGATGAATATGTGTGTCATCTGAAAGACTGAAACTAAATGGTTTTTGTCTATAACGAACTGCCAATTATGTTCAATGCGAGGCGCTTATCACATGCATTGCCATGTATCCTGTTGTTTCCTACAGTATCATACTTTAAGGTTTAATTTCATTGCGTGATCTGTAACATGGTCTTTGAACTTTGATGTATTATCCAAGCCCTCCAGTGAAGTATTTGAAAAACACAAGTTCTTGAAATTATGATCCGATCATCGAATTGATATTTCACCTCGAAAATTCACTCTTGAATCTATGATTCAAATAGGACTCGCACAAGCCCCTTCCCTAAGGCCCTAACCTTAGCCTCCTAGTAATAGCCTAGTCTTATTAGTTATAACTCGTCTTATTAGTTGTTTCGGGTGAAAACAATGGGACCTTGCCGAAGGTCCGCTGAAACGGAGAAGGCTGGATTCGGTCCAAGTTATGTTGAGCCGAAGGTTTCCTGCACAGTAAACACACGTAAACTAGCCTCGGGGGTGTTGCCGAGGAAGGTCCCTCCGATGCTAAAGTCAGTACAATATGTAAGAAGAGGACACTATGCAAGAGAGTTTGTTGCTTGAGGCTTTAATGGAATACATCAGAATATATCAATGAACATATGAAAGAACATATCGATGGCTTTTATACCTCATCATACATGGAGAGGTTGGGCCTTAGCCCAATTGGCTTGCTTTGTGGGCTGACCTTTGACTTTAGCATAATTGGAGAGTTGAACCTTGACCTTGGGCTTTTAATTGGATCATTTAATGCCTAGGCCCAATTGAACTAAATTGGACCCAAACAACTTGCCCCCCAGACCCGATTTGGAAGGATGACGGGTCGGATTTGATTTAATTCAGAAAAGGAGGGAAGTAAATGATTTAATTAATCCAAAAATTTGAATTTAAACCGTAATTAATGAGATAACAACGGTTAAGGCGGATGATTGTGGAAGTTGGACGGATAATGGGCAGTTTAATCACAAGATCATGTGTTTAACGGTTACTTAGTGGAGTATTTAAGAGAAATTAAAACGCAGACTCCTCGTATCCCATTCCTGGAGATATAAACAGAGGCGCGTCATCTCTCCTCACTTATTCACCAACACAAACCCAGAATTCTCGAGAGAGAAACCAAGAACCCGCATCAAAACTTCGCAAATTCCCCGAGCATTAAGCTTAGAAACTGAGACTTGCCACTACGAACTCGTAAATCGGCAACTTTCGCTTCAGATTAAGGTAAATTCCTTTGATTTCAGTTTATTTTTCTTCGAATTCGAACTCCTTCCCCTTTTCTTTCGACTTTTTTCTTCGAAATAATCAATGGCAAGAGGAGTTAGAGGTAGAGCCCGTGCTCCAAGAAGAGAAAGGTCGATTCCCGATCCTAGGAACAGGATTGGGACCTGAAATGGACAAAGGCCAGAGTCTGACCCTGCTAAAGGGATTAGGGCGACTCCCCTTTCCTCGGCTCCTCCTCAGAGAACGGAGGAGCCGAGCGCTTCTGGACGGGATGATGAAGTTCCCGCTGTCCTTTGGGATATCCTCCCCGGGTTTTCAGAATGGGAGAATGCCGAAGTTGCTTCGGCCATGATAAAGAACCGCCCCTACCCATGGTGGGTGGAGAATGCCGATCAATATCGATTTGCCGAGCAAATTGAGTTGCATTACGGCATTTTTGAAGCTGATGGGTATTGGTGTCGAATGCCCTCGGCATCCGATAGAATCCATCGTCCACCCCCGGGGTATGTGGGGGTGTACACAAGACAGCTTCAGTACGGGCTGAGGTTCCCTTTGGACGTATTCGTCCGAGACTTGCTGATCCATTACAACATCTCTCTATGTCAGTTAACTCCCACCAGCATCCGAAGGGTGATGACATACTTATGGGTCTGCAAGTTCTTCAAGTATGTGCCGAACCTGCACTGCTTCAAAAAGCTCCATCGGCTAGTGCCAAATATTCAAAGTGGGCACGGAAGTCATGGTTCTGGATGGTACCGGATTGAGTCTCGGCCCCAGTACCTAACCATGTGGCCGAACGACTCTTCAGACAAGGACTGGAGAGGTCAATGGATTTGGGTTAGGGCACCCACGGATCCGGGCCACCCTTGCGTCTTCAGCGCTCCCCGGTACCTCGCTAAGCCTGATCCCGAAATGGGAAGTCTAGGTCCCCCCGCAGATAACGGGGCGGATCCGAACCTTGATCAGCAACATATCTTCGGCAAGCTGCCGAACCGGGGGGGCAGTGGTCGAATGCAGCATATCCTGGAGACTTGGCTCCCCGATACGCATTACGTTTTCCAAGAGAACATGCTAGCAGCTGTTGGCCTCAGCCGAAAGTTTAAGGATGGTAAGCTTCTTCGGCTGGGGCCGAGGCTTTTTAACTATCTCTTTTTCTTCTCTCGCTTCGCTTTTTTATGATGTGCCAACCTATCTGAACTAACCTTTCCCCTTTCCTTTTTCAGAGCGGGACGAGACCAACGTTGGCATTAACTACGCTCGTCTTGGTGTTAACCGAGAACGAGTTGTAACTGAACGGGCCCCGTCTATCACTGAGTCGAGGCATAGGGAAGTTCATCTAGACTCTTCCCACTTCCAAATTGAGGTTGTTGCTCTGTATCAGAGGCAGAAGCCTTGGTGGAAGAAGAGAGACCCCTGGTTTCAGCTGCTGGACGAAGAAGCTGAAGCTGCCCGTACAGCCGAAGAGGTTGCACGGGTTCTCGAAGCTTGCGAAGGAGGAGAAGGGTCCTCCAGAGCTGCTGAAGCAGAAGCTGCAGCTAGAGCAGCTGAAGAAGACGAGGCTTTGCTGAAGACCTCGGTGAGCTTTCGGACTTAACTTTGTCTTTCTTTTTTCTTTTCTCTTTTTTTTTTTTTTTTACTCACATTCTTCCTTCCCCCTGTCTGTTACAGTCTGAAGAGAGTAACAGACATAGAGAAGGGAAAGCTCCTGTTCGTCCCGAAGACCAAATACAAGGAGAGTCTTCAGACTCAGATATGGACGAGCAGCCCCTTCAGAAAAGGCGCCGAAGGATGGCCATCATCGGCCCTCATGACTTTCAGCGGAGGCCGATGACCATCGGCGCTGCAATAAGGGAACCCAAGGAAGGCAATGGATCGCCGAGGGTTCCCCGGCCACCACCCCAATCACCTCAAAATACCCCTCTGCCACCTCCTGAGATGGAGGTGGATCAGAGAACTCCCGAATCTAAGGGAGCGGTCCAAGAAGAAATTAAGGAGAGTGCTGCTGAGCACGAAAACAAGGATGCCGTGATGTCCAGTGCTGAGGGCTTCACGGCAGACATTGCAAGAGAGGTTGAGGCTTTCGTCCTCACCCCTGAAGAAGAGGAGGTCATAGTAATTGACTCCTCTGAGAAGGATGATGCTGAGCCATCCAAAGCTAATCAAGCTCCATCGTCATCCTTCCCTTCCTTCCAGACTCTGCAATCTGGAGAAATGGGTTTCTCGGCCCCCCGAATTCCAATCCCAGACCATATCTGGGACCTCATATGGGGTCAAAACCGAGAAGGAGCTGCAGCCTACTTCGGCGATTTTGCTGGCATGTCCGAAGTAGATAGGGAAAGGATCTGGTCGCTGAAGGCCACTGCTGGGATGGGCGAATCCAGCAGATCAGTTCCTGACCCAGCCAGGTCTAACCAACTGCTGATGATGCAGGTAATTTTCCTTGCCTTCATTTCCTCTGAAATTCAGCTCTATTTTTATTATTATAAATATATATTTTTTTTTATTTATTATTTTTTTTGTCTTCCTGTTTTCAGTTCGTGCACAATCAGACTCTCACTGTAGAGCTGATAGATACCCTACAAGATAGGGTAGACGCTGCTGTGCACGACAAGAAGGTAGCTGAAGAGGAATTAAAGCTTGCTAAGCTGAAGCAAGCAGCAGCTGAAGAGAAGCAGCAGAAGGGTGAGGAGTACGAGAAAAGAGCTGCTGAAGCCCTCAAAACCTTCTGCGACGCTATGGAGAAGGAAGTTTTTCCCCCACTGATGGAAGGGGAAAAATTCCTCCAGGAGCATATGGGAGTGGACGTCTTCAAATTCAAGGCTGCTGTTGAGAGCCGTATTCAGGAAGGAGCTGCTGTACAAGCTGAAGTGCAGCAACGTCTAGAAGCTCTTGAAGCCAGCCGAATGGCTGCTGAAGAGCTGCTCCAGGCCAAAGATGTCCAACTCTCAGAGGCTGCTGCTGCTGCCGAAGCTCAGAGAGCTAAACTCCATGAGGCTGAGGATCAACTGATGACCAAAAAAGTTGAAGTGGCCCAGGCTCAGACAAAGGCTTCCCAAGTTCAGCAGGAGCTGAATGAGCTGAAAGGTTCCTCCTCCAAGCTCGCTGATGAGCTGAAGAAATCCAAGGAAGACTTGGAGGAGACCTAGAAGAAGCTGGCTGATGCTGAGGCTCTACTCAAAGTCCGTGTCTATACCCAAGAGGAATATGAGATGGGTTTCAGAAACGGGTTCAGAGTATGCCGAAGAGTCTGCCTTCATGCTGAACCGAAGCTGGACTGGTCTAAATGTGCTGAATGGGTCCAGAATCCCGAAGACCCTCATATGAAGTATGCAACTCCAGTCGAAGCTGAAATTCTTAAGGCTGAGGAAGCCGAAGAGGAAGCTGAGAGAATGGAGTTGGAAGCTGAACAGAGGGAAAGGGAGGCTCGGCAGAGTGCTAAGCCCGCTTCTTCTGCTGCTGGGGCTGAGGCCACCATGGGGCTCAACGCTGATCAGTCTGATCCTCAGGCTGAAGCATAGGAACTCGGGCAGTCGTCTTCAGAATCTTGCGGTTCATCATGCGCTTAACTTTAGACTTGCCGCTTTCTGAATTTTTTGCCTTGTTTTTTGCTTCAGCTTGCCTTGTCGTACAACAGTTTATTTTTTTTGCTTATGTACGTATTTCGGCAGCTGTTATTTTCCGCTTGTGGGCGGCTGCCGATA